TTTCCCTTTATGGGCTCTATTGGCCATCTATTAATATAATAATGCTCTATTACAAATAACCACAAGCTCATTGGCCTGTAACTAGCAATGTCTATTGCTCATGCTTCAGGGAGTCCTTTGGGATCTACCAGACTGGCTCAGGAAGATGAGGCAGAAAGGCTAGTGGAATAGGCAAGGACTCTTGAGGCCTAGGCTTGGAACTGGCTTACCATTTTTCAATCTGGGTGTCCGGTTTTCTTTTTATTTGCTAAAGCTGGCAACCAATACCTCTTTTTACTGGGCAAAACAAGTCACATGCTTGAATCCAGAGTAAGGGGCAGAGCGAATCACCTTGCCCACAGGGGGAGGCTTTGCCAAGTTACTTGAAAAGGCTCTAGGGATGTTTAGAGTAATGCAGTGAATCTACCGCATGAGCTGTTTCATCAACTCTGATTTTCTGGCTAAGGACCATCATATGCACAGTGCTCCTCCTCATGCTGTCTTCCCCTGCATTACTAGCAGTCGACATTAACTTTTCTTTGAGGACTGGTTTCTGCTTGCAGGGGGAGCTGAGAAGTGGGCATACTCTCTTGCTAAAATGACTCCTGACCTTTTCAAGTGTTGCAATACAGAGGATTCACAGTACTGCTTTGGCAACATGACCAATTTCATCACCTTTTTTGGCCCTTCATGGTCTAAAGAGTCAAAACCATACTGGTTAACCCTGAGAACATTGGGGTATTATGGTGCCAGCATCACTTGTGAGCTGGAAGACAAAGGCACAGAGCCAAGTGGGCCAAATGGGGGATGGAGAATTTGAAAGACAGATACAAGGAGAGGCAGGAAGAAGATGGCAAATGGAACGTAACTCGGGTCATGGTTTCCAAGCCTGCTTAACCATCTGAATCACCTGGTGATATTCTACATTCCTTAGTTCCCTGGGCAGAACGGGAACTTCTGGTCCATGTCAACATCAGAGACAGAAGTCTAGATACATGTCACTATGAGTGGGAAATGCCCCTTGATACGATTAACATTCATTTGGAAACCTTTCTGTATAAAAACTAATTGCACATAAATATTAATTAATGTCTATTTTTCTCAGTTATATTTTGTTAATTTTCTATGCATTAGAGATAATGAATATAAAAATTATACTTGACTCATCATATATTTTCTTACATTTTGAGTTGCTAATTTCCCCAGAGAGAAATCATACCAATTTTATGTTAGTGTGGAATATTTATAATTTGGTTCTTGTTTTTGTTAAATGTAGTAACCTCACAATCTTTATTATATGTAAGTATTTGTTTTGAGCAAATAAGATTTGAGGATTGAAAAGAAGGACTATTAGCATGATTTAATTTTCATTGCTTTCCAAGTAGCAAATACTCATCGATTTGAGGGTGAATTATTTTATTTCTCTAAAACAAATGATACAATGAATGAGGACCGATATGTGTTTTCTTAACAAGTACTTTTAAAAAGACTATTTCTAAATGCAAAATGCCAAGCAAAATCTTAGGAAGATGTTACATATTTCTTTAGTAAGTTCATAGTGATCTATTGTGCCCTTTTCATTTCTTTTTTTAAAAATATCTTTTTATTGACTTTTTTAGAAAGAGAAAAAGGGAGAGGAAGAGAAAGACTGAGCAGCTGCCTCCTGCAAGCCCCCTACTGGGGATCAAGCCCTCCACCTGGAATCAAACTGGGGACCTCTCGATGCATGGGGTGATGCTCAACCAACTAAGCCACACTGGCCACGGCCCCTTTTCATTTCTTTTGTGCTCCTGAGGAATCCTTTATTTATTTATTCAGGAATTTATTTTCCTGCTTTGAATTGAAATACTCTGTGGAGAAACCACTTGATATACCTGTTTTAAACTCTGGCTTGGTTCCTTAAAGTGAATTAAAATTTATATTATCGTGTAACTTAGATTTATGACCCTGAACACTAAGGTCAACAGAGTCTGGTATGATTGATGGACCAGAGAAAATATTTAGTGCAAAGTACTGAAATTTTATAAGCTTTGGCAATAAAGAGTAAAGATCTATATTTAGAAACTAATCTTAGAAAATATTGCCTTGTAATTTGATAGCTTATCATTTCAGCTGATTCTCAAAATAATCCTTGTGTTATATAAGCAGGTCAGGTTGTCATATCCCCATGTTAATGATGAGAAAACCGAGGCTTAGAGAAGTTGAGTGCATTGGCCTGTGTCATAGAAATCCAGGTTTTCTGTCTCCATGTCCTGGCGTTATGTCATTATGACATTATGATTTTCAAGACAGGATTGGTTAGTTAGGATTAGACCTGCATTTTACAAAGATGAATGAAATACCATCCCTCTTGGGTGCGTTAGTTGGGAGATAGACAAGCCATGAGATTCCTGCAGTGCTATTTGGTAAGGACAATAGTAAGAACTATAGAATGAAGCACTGAGGAAGGAGGGCCTTATTTCATCAGAGTCAGAATAGGGAGGAAGTGTAAGCTCTTGTGTTTAGGAGAAGGAATTTTTTCTTTTTAAAAAATATTTAATTTAAATTTTATTTTTCAGCCCTAGCTGGTCTGGCTCAGTGGATAGAGTGTCGGCCTGCGGACTGAAGGGTCCCAGGTTCAATTCCAGCCAAGGGCACATACCTGGGTTGCAGGCTCGATTCCCAGGGGGGGCGTGCAGGAGGCAGCCGATCAATGATTCTCTCTCATCATTGATGTTTCTATCTCTCTATCCCTCTCCCTTCCTCTCTAAAATCAATAAAAATATATTTTAAAAAATTTTATTTTTCAGTTATACTTTACATTCAATATTATTTTGTATTAGTTTCAGGTGTACAGAATAGTGGTTAGATAATTATATACTTTACAGTGTTTCCCCCGATATTTCCAGTACCCACCTGACACCTTACATAGTTATCATAGTATTACTGACTGTATTCCCTATACTGTACTTTACATCCCCATGACTGTTTTGTAACTACCAATCTGTATTTCTTAATCCCTTCACCTCTTTCTCCCAGTCTCCCATGGCAATATTTCTCTTCTACATGACTGGTACTTGAAAAACATTATTTTCTTATTGCATTCAGAAGACTGAGTGATTGAGGAATTCAGTTGACGGTACTGAATGTATCAACTCCCGCTGAGCAAGAAATTTTGTGGTGATTGAAGAAGGTTTGGTCTCGGGGTAAGGAGCATTCCCAGGGAAAGGCAGTAGCACAAGATGGCTCCAGGCCTTTGACCGCACCTGGAGCTTCAGAAAGTCATGGGGGCAGGTGGTATTTTCCAACGATGGCCACAATAGCTTTAGTCTCCCACACTCTTCTATAATGGGACTTTCTACTCCCCGATCAAGAGGCCGAGTCTCATATTCCTCCCCTTGAATCTGGTGGACTTGTGATTGCTTCAACCAATAGAATATGCAAAAGGGATGCTGTGTGATTTCCAAGATACGAAAAGTGAGGCAGCTTCTCACTGTTTATTGGAACACTTGTCTTATTCAGGCTACTTTCTATGAAAATGAAATTGATACTGTGAGGTATTAAGCCATTCATGTATCTTCGATATATCCATCTGTTTTTCTTATTATGAGAGAAAAATGCTTCTATTGAAATTAGTTCTGCCTGGCCGGTGTGCTCAGTGGTTGAGTATAGACCTATGAACCTAGAGGTCACGGTTTGATTCCCGGTCAGGGCACATGCCCGGGTTGTGGGCTCGATCCCCAGTGTGGGGCATACAGGAGGCAGTCAATCAATGATTCTCTCTCATCATTGATGTTTCTATCTCTCTTTCCCTTTCTCTTCCTCTCTGAAATCAATAAAATATATATTAAAAAAAGAAATTAGTTCTTTTCTAATATTTGTTCTTGTACTGGATTCAATGGTGGATATGTGAAATTGGTTTTTATAAAAGATCAGAGTGAAGTTTGAAGGTGAAAATGGATCCATTTGTTTAAGAAGACTGTAGAGAAAGAAAAAGGGTGGTGAAAAAAGGGGAAATGTTATACCCTATCCTGAAATAGTCTGTTTACTCTTCCATACTTTTTTTTTTTTTCGGGGGGGGGGGGGGGGGAGGTTCTTTATCTTTCTGGCTTCTCCTACTCAGGTTTTTATAGACTTTCTTTGTTCTGTCCACCCTTTCTTTTAGGTGTTTCCCATGGTTAGTTCTAAGGCCTTCTTTTTCTTCCCTTTTCTTCCCTTATTTTCCCTTTATTTCTCCCTCCCCACACTCCCCAAGCATAATCATATCTCCTCTTTTGGCTATTAAATTGCTATTTATTGTGGATAGTCATTGACTCCACAAACATATATTGAGGGGGGTGGGGGGGAGGTTCTTTATCTTTCTGGCTTCTCCTACTCAGGTTTTTATAGACTTTCTTTGTTCTGTCCACCCTTTCTTTTAGGTGTTTCCCATGGTTAGTTCTAAGGCCTTCTTTTTCTTCCCTTTTCTTCCCTTATTTTCCCTTTATTTCTCCCTCCCCACACTCCCCAAGCATAATCATATCTCCTCTTTTGGCTATTAAATTGCTATTTATTGTGGATAGTCATTGACTCCACAAACATATATTGAGTGCCTTCTGTGTGCCAGGCATTCTTCTGAGGCTGGCGATACAGTTACAGCTTAATATTTTCAGTGGTGTTATGCTTGTGATTTTGATTTTCAACTGGCAGTAATCACCAGCGAAATTCAAATATTATTGTATAAATTGACATTAACATAGAATATGTCTTCTGAAGTGAGTGTTTCGGAAACAACAAGTAACTGGTTAGCAGCTTGCGCCATCAGACCTTCCTACCTCTCAACTTGGAGAAATTATGTGTTTGTCTTGGTATTAAGGTAGCAAGACTGATGAGAAAATAACTTTTCTTTTGACACATATTGCACCGGGTAGGATGCAATTGGGAAGTCCTCTATGATGACAGCTGTTCGTGGCAGGAAACCTGTTTGAGGCGGACGCCAGGAGGGAAGGACAGGAAGTGTCATCTTACTCTGGTCTACTTGGCTCTCAGACATTACGGATTGTGCTGGATCAGTGGGAGCCAGGTTTCTGGACTTCAGATTATCTCGATTGACTTCTTTCTTGGACTGGAGTTATTTGGTAATGTTAATAGGGACTTTCCAGAAGAATAACTAGGAAAAATACCACAAAACCATTCATGCAGTTGAAAGCAGACGTCTTCGGTGATGTTTATATTGGGCAGAGACTGTGCCTTATTTTGGGTCATATTCTTGGCTTCGGGCAAATTCTAACCTTAATGTAATTGGCAAAAGTAGTGGGTTTGAAAAGGTGCCGAAAAGCAAGTTTTAAATTGTCACGTAGCTTTTACTTTTAATCCCCGGAGGAGCTAAAAAATCAGCATAAAGGCACACCCCCATCGGTGTTGCATTAATAAAAACAGACCCTCAAATAGTTCATCTTAAAGATAAAAATCCCATCTAAATAAAAATAAACAGACAACATCTTTTTCATAGACTATTTGCTCCTAGGCTTTCTGGGTATTCTTATATTATTTTTCATTATCATGCTGTTTTAAGATTCCTTTTCCTTCTGAATTCAAGACACTGTAGGGCTTTGTTCTGAAACTGACTTCCACCAAGGCACCTGTGGTGTGTTACCTTCACATGACTACGGGACTTCGGCTCCTTGCTTATGAGCTTGTTTTTCCCTGTAATGCTGTAGTTTTCAGTGTGTGGGCCATGGAAGTCATAAAGCAGAGGTATTACAGATCCCCTCAAACATTCCAGTTCATAAGAAGACTCTTCCATAATGTATATGCTACATTATTTCATATATGTAAATGAAATTGGGATTAATAAAGTGCAATAATGCTTATAAGCCTTACTAGACAGGGTTTAAAATAGTGATGAAAATCTGTAGACCTGTATTACTTGCTATGAGAGGATGTTGATATGTTATTTGTGAGAGAAGTGATTTATAAAACAGTATGCAAAGTATGATATCATTCTTGTAAGATAGTACATAAAACATTAGATAGATAAACAGATTCAAGTAAATCAGGACAAAAATGAATTATCTGACAAGTACTCCTCAGTTTTAGTTTATTTATTTTGGTTGAGTACATCAGTTGATTTCTGAGAAAATAGGCACAGAAGGTTAAGTTTTTTCGATCATTTATTTCTGTCATATTTTTAATTTTATAAGATATTTTTTATTGTTTCCATGTTCTTTTTTTTTAAAAAAAAATAGCATTTTGTTCTTGTTTCATGGAATTGAGTCCCTCTAACATCTTGAAATTTTAGTTATACTTTTCTCTTATTTTTTCTGCATTTTTTCTTTATTTGTTTGTTTTGATCTTGCATTTTCATACTTGTTGGTGAACCCTGGAGATCTCTGGCCAAAATGGTCACATGGAAAAACAAGGCAATAAAGGTGAGTGGAAGCTTTGGGGTGTGATAGGGCTCTAGCAACTGGTGGTCTTTGCTGGGTGGGTTTGCTGACAATTTCATTGGGTCAACCAGATTTTTCCATTTTCCTGTGAGGATGGGGCAGGTTAGGAGACTGCCTGCCAACGTTCTAAAAGGCAACCAGGGAAGCGACCAGGAGATCACTGGTTAGTCTGCACATTTTCACTGTAATTGCCCTCTTTTCTACTTTAGGCAGGATCCCAATGATCAGGTGTGCCTGGTCAGAGCCTCTAGTTTAAGTGCTCTGGATAAAGTCCCTCCTTCTTTATCCAGAGTAGGTGGGAACTGAACTGAATGCCTGGGCATCCAACTACTGCCTATATCAGTGGTTCTCAACCTTGGCTGCACATTAGAATCACCTGGGAATCTTTTTAAAATCCTGATTCCTGGGCCTCATCCTCCGGAAATTGTTTCTTTGTTATGGGGTGGGGCCACAACATTAGTAACAACGAAACAGAATTTCCGGAGGATGAAGCCCAGAAATCAAGATTTTAAAAAGATTCCCAGGTGATTCTAATGTGCAGCCAAGGTTGAGAACCACTAGCCTATATGGACGTCAACCATAAAATGACCTTAAAACATAATATGCAAGACGTGTAAAAGATACATTTGACTTACAAACATACATTTTAACATATTGTAAGTATACTTAATATAAATGTGCATTTAATATATTTTAAATATAGCTATTTTTAACTCAGAAAAACCACTAGTGTTTTGACTATAACTTTAGGATATATTATTTGCTGGAAATAGCTAATTACTTATCCAGGCAGTTAATTAATTTTTACAGTTATTTATAGAAGTATTGAACTTAAACAGGTGATTATTTTTTATATGCTCTCTTCCTTTCTTATATTATTTTAAACCATCAGAAATACATGCTTGCTATAAAATACTAAATTGATACAGAAGGGGGTATAGTAGCAATTGAATGCCTCTTCACCTTGTCTCTCATTTCTTAATCACACACTCCTTCCAAGAAGTAATTACTTTTAAGAATTGCTATCAGTACTCTATACTGCCATTTTTATGATTGTTTCTGGCGTTCTCCCTTCAATTAATTTAATGTCTATTAGCATGCCCACTGGAAAATAGATGGAAAAGTTTAGGATACTATGTCTCGAATGCATGTAATTTATTGGAATATTGGAGCAGGTTTGGTGGAGGATAAAGAGCTGTGTCTTATGATATCTGGCTGCTTTTAAGAGCTTTCAATTAATTATAACAGGCCAATATTTTTCCAGTTACCATGGTTAACTGAAGGCTATCATACAAATTAGTTTTACAGATCATAACAGTGGGTATCAGACTTTAAGGAAGATTATTTTAAAGGGTTTCCTTGTATTCCATCCTAGGAGAAAGAGCCAATTGGGAGAATAAGAATGAGATGAAGAATCTAAACTGACACCCAGATGAAAGCCTGTGTGCTGCGAGAAGCATTCAAATAATTTTTTAATGAACTGCTTCCTTTGACTTATTTTAAGATCTATATGTAAGGGGGGGAATAAAAGCATGACAGGGCCCTAACCTGTTTGGCTCAGTGGATAGAGCGCCAGCCTGCAGACTGAAGGGTCCCAGGTTCGATTCTAGTCAAGGGCATGTGCCTTGGTTGCGGGCACATCCCCGGTAGGGGGTGTGCAGGAGGCAGCTGATCAATGTTTCTCTCACATTGATGTTTCTAACTCTCTGTTCCTCTCCCTTCCTCTCTGTAAAAAATCAAGAAAATATATTTAAAAAAATAAAAAAGCATGACAGGAATAGAATAGATGGGAAAAAATTAAACAAGATTCTGCCCCATTTGTTACGAATGACAAGGAAAATATAATAGCCAAAAAGCAAATGGAGTTTGTTAGTAGAAGGAAATAATGGTAATGGAATTTTCACAAAATAGAGCAGGGAAAAAGTAGATACAATTTTTTTTAAAAAGTTTGCTAATCAGTAGAGATGGCATACTATGAATGTCTCTAAATGGCTGAGATATTGGTGTTTACATTCTCTCATTACCAAGAGAAATAAAGAAGAAAAGTTTAGATCACGGGTGAATAATGAGTAAAATGGCAAACACGGCTACTAAACATGCAGATAAGTGACTGTTGTATTTGGAAAATTTAAAACTTAGATCTATCAGCACCTCTGGTTGACATGTCTCCTCTTGGGTAATATGTGAATCAGCTAATGTGCTTACCAAACCACTTATGATGCAGAATTTTTACAAGATAATTGTGCTGATTTAACATAAACTAACTATCTAAATGCATCGATCTCCAGAGCTGCCAATTTTCAAAGAAGGAAAGCAGGACAACTGGAATAACAAATATTTAAAGGCTCTACAGTTTTAGTCTTCAGATTGAGCTTCTCCCTCCTTTTGCTCAGAAGGCCCATAGTAACAAAAACATATGCATATTCCTGTAGCTAATATGAATTTAAGCTAATGAAATGTAAGCACACTTATTATCTGATTTTTCTCCTTACATTTATTTGCCAAAAACAAAAGAAAAAAAAACTTGTTTGTTGATTAAACTCAGGGAAATAATATAGTAGACTGTCTAGCCTATAAAGCATGTCTCCATGAAAGTATCTATTGAGCTTTGGTGGGAAAATATTAAAAATTCTACTTATTGTTTTATCTTCTAATTCTGTTAACATATTATAAAAAAGAAATTAAATTTACTAATACTGTATTTAATTTACTGGTTGACCTATTTTGGAGTGTTCCACAAAAAAATGGGATGTTGGCAGATGGTCGTCCATTTGCTTGCTTTCAGCATCCTGCAACCTCTTATAGGCTATATGGGCCTGTTTCAGTGGTTGATTTTAATAGGGAATCTTGTTTGCATCTCAACCTTTAGATGGGAAGTGGACTAAAGGATTCCTGCAAATACATCCCAGATAAAATATAATAACAATGATTAAGCACAGGCAAACATCAAGAACTTGTGGAGATCCTAGACACAGAACCCAGACACAGAACCTAGAGACAGAACCTACAGACAGAACCTAGAGACAGAACCTAGACACAGAACCTAGAGACAGGACTTGGCTGGAGATCCTACACAGAACCTAGAGACAGAACCTACAGACAGAACCTAGAGACAGAACCTAGACACAGAACCTAGAGACAGGACTTGGCTGGAGATCCTACACAGAACCTAGAGACAGAACCTACAGACAGAACCTAGAGACAGAACCTAGACACAGAACCTAGAGACAGGACTTGGCTGGAGATCCTACACAGAACCTAGAGACAGAACCTACAGACAGAACCTAGAGACAGAACCTAGACACAGAACCTAGAGACAGGACTTGGCTGGAGATCCTACACAGAACCTAGAGACAGAACCTACAGACAGAACCTAGAGACAGAACCTAGACACAGAACCTAGAGACAGGACTTGGCTGGAGATCCTACACAGAACCTAGAGACAGAACCTACAGACAGAACCTAGAGACAGAACCTAGACACAGAACCTAGAGACAGGACTTGGCTGGAGATCCTACACAGAACCTAGAGACAGAACCTACAGACAGAACCTAGAGACAGAACCTAGACACAGAACCTAGAGACAGGACTTGGCTGGAGATCCTACACAGAACCTAGAGACAGAACCTACAGACAGAACCTAGAGACAGAACCTAGACACAGAACCTAGAGACAGGACTTGGCTGGAGATCCTACACAGAACCTAGAGACAGAACCTACAGACAGAACCTAGAGACAGAACCTAGACACAGAACCTAGAGACAGGACTTGGCTGGAGATCCTACACAGAACCTAGAGACAGAACCTACAGACAGAACCTAGAGACAGAACCTAGACACAGAACCTAGAGACAGGACTTGGCTGGAGATCCTACACAGAACCTAGAGACAGAACCTAGGAAGAGAACATGGCAAAAGATCCTGGACGGAACCTGGCTACAGAACTTGGCTGGAGAACCTAGACAGAACATGGCGAAAGAACCTGGATAGAACCTGACTGGAGAACATGGACACAGAACCTGGCTGGAGATCCTGACCAGAACTTGGCTGGAGTTCCTGGATAGAGATCCTGGCTAGGCTGCTGATCAACTGAAGGCTGTCTCTGTGTCATTCCTTCTTCGCCGACTCCGTCCACACCTTTGGGGACCCCTGGACCTGCTGGGGTTGGACCTCAACATATGGCGCCCGAACAGGGACCCTTAGGTAAGCCCCCCTGCACTCGGGACAGATAGGACTCCACCGTAGGAAGAGGGTGGATAGTCTTCGCCGACTCCGTCCACACCTTTGGG